CGACGATGAGTCGCATTAGTTTATCAAAACCAACGAATTGCAGGTCACGCTGGCTCATTTGCGGAGTGCGAGATCTGGGGTCTGGGGTACCTTTGCAACCCATCCCGGCGAGCACTCCATCCCGGCTTTCGGTTCGGGAGGCGTGTTCCCGCGCAGAGAGCCCAAAGTTGTCAGTCTCCTCGTGTAAGCCGGACGTATTCACTTACTATGGGATTGGGATTCAAGCCAAGGTGGGGAAGGAACAGGCAGTGATCCTGTGTACAGAACTTTAGAAAGAATAAACTACAGATTAGACACTCACTATAGAGTTGCAAGTACAGAATGTCCAGCTATAAGAAAGGCGAAAACAAGTGATTAATCGAGGTTTGTTCACGGAACGGAGCGGCTCATGGGATGAACAAATGGATGATGCACTAACCTGTCAAAGTCCGAGCCGACGAGGTCGACCACCATGGATATCCATTCGGAATACATACATAACCCGCGTGTTCAATCGGCCCTATAGTGGATCGAAGCTCCCCCACCTCCGGAATATCCAAACATCTCTCCCCGAACCATCGGCCGAGTTGTGGTGACTTGTCAGCGGTTGAATAACCTTGAATGACCTTACCTTACTTTGTGGCTAAAGAGGCAAAGGCTCGGTACGTGACAGCGAATCAAGCTTTAAGCCCACTGTATACCAAAATAAAGGTAAGCTTGAAATAACGTGTTGAAATTCTATTTACTGCTAGTGGAGAAGGAATGCTACTTGTGGGAGTCGTTGCCGTTTTGGTGAAAACTCAACGTCTTTCGTGGAAAGTACCCCACGGCCCAAAACTTCATAGCGCAACCCATACCTGATCTTCGCCGGTAGAGTCTCATACCATCATACATAACCATCCAGCCAAAGCCGAAACTTTTCTTACCGAGTGAATTCTCTTGATTAGTCTCGTCGTGTCTAATGTGCGTGTCTCTTGATATCTCGGCGCCCGGTAGTTCCTGACACTGCAGTGGATGATCAAAGAATGGGGCTGGAATGGCCGTGATCAGATTGGGCGACAGCTTCTGCAACATCAAGAGGCGTGAAGTCGCGTTTACACTGACTCGGCTTCATGGCAGATTGCGACCGCTCAATTTCGTTGTTCTTGACGACTGGATCAAATGATACGGATCGCCGGATACTTTTCGCCGCCGCAGACCGCTTCTTCAATGGCCTACCCAGCGTGCCCAACGACGGAGCGCGCTTGGCAGTGTTGGCAGGATCAATCAACGTGAACCTGGCCTCAGGCGTGTTCAGGACCGAGACCGCCCGAGCTTTCACCCTTTTCAACAGCTCCGGGTCTGACGTTGATTTGGGAAATGTTGATGCCGATGGCTTTAGGATGTCTTGCTGAGGTTGGCACTCTTTACGAGACTTGACCTCCGTCGCGGGAATCGGAACGTAGAGCTCTCGTCGAGGTTGAGGACTATTTCCGTCAGACACTGCCAGACCAAGCTCTGGCATGTTCCACTTCGCGGCCGGGGCAGCCTGTGACTTTGCATCGTTGACGGCTGCTGCAGGTCAGTACGATCCCAACCAAGAGTAAGAAACGAGAATACATACAAGGGACGAATTTGTCGGTTGTAGAGTCTGGGGCTTCTAACGAAATCAATGGTGCCGCACCCTGTTTTTGTTGGCCCTCTGTGGAGAAACAGCTTGGTTCAAGGTTGCCATAAAGGCCTTCGCCAACCAGGAAATTCCAATACATGGAATTCAATGGCCCGGTGTTGTGAGCTGGCCGACTGGTGGTATCTTGATGCATGAGGGATGGGTGCGCTGCGCTAGCTGAGACGGAGAAAACACCGGTGCGTGATGGATTTCGACGGATCACGCGAGCCTGGGACTGTTCTATCAGACGCTGAACGAGTTCTTCAGTCGAAGGGAGCCGCCGTGCCGGTTGCGCTGCTGTTTGGAAGACTGGCAAGGTCATGGGCGCTGGAGTTGAAGACAAAGGCTGTTGAGGCGGATCTCTCACAAACCTTGCAGGCCATTGCTGAGAAGCTAGATCGTAGCCTGTCGGATAGACTGCTGAGGGAAAGCCTTGTGCCAGCGTGGCATTCTCCCACATGTGTCGGTTCGGCCAGGCAATGGCAGCTTCCTCGAGTGTCTCTGTTGCATTAGAAATGATCAGCCCGCAGTCCAGACAGCGGATCGAGTCACCAGCTGCTACCGACCTAGTGGAGCGTGACAGAAAGAAAATGCAGCAACATTTTTGATGTGCTCCAAGGAATGAGTCGTCGGGTCACGCTGGACTGCTTCCGTGACAATAACTTGGATGCGGCCAAGGGATGCGGCAGGATTCCAGGGGTATTCTTGCAAATATTTCTCGTTGAAGGCAGGGAACCTGATCACATCGCGGTCACCGTGTTTGTTTGGTTCTGTAAAGAGGCAGATCAGCGGCATATTCCCTAGGCTAGTTCATGCATCGGCACCTATGTCGACTGACTGAGACTTTGCGAGATGGGGAGAGGCGTCCGCCGGCCTTGGTTGAACACGTCCTCGCTGAAAGTCCGTTAGAAGCTGTAAGCGATACGGACATCGACTGCAGATGTTCTTACGCGACGAGATTCCCATCGATGTACACTCGGGCTGCAAAGACTACGAGGTTTGCATTTCGATTCGGGTTGCTGATAGAAGGGGTTGTCCAAGAAAAGATGGAAATCGTGAGCGGCATGTTGCGGGGAAGACTGGGGACGAAGCCATGAACAACCGGCAAGCCAAAAGACTCCAAAGATGGTGCTGGCTTCGATTCTGTCAGGGCATCCATTGATCAGCAAGGAAATGTCCATGACCGCAGAGCTCGTCAAGACTGACCAAGGTCCGGGATGACGGAGCAGTCTGTCTTGAACTCCTTCAGCGGCACCGATCCATTGCCGGGGAACAGCAGGACGTCCCAATTATCGTAACGCATGTCGGAATTCCTCACGGTATCTAGTCGAGCGCGACGATCAGTAAAGTATCTGTTGTTGGCAGAAACGCGAGCAGGCGATGGCGGATACGACAAACGTGGAGTCCGATGATCGAGATTAGTATGCTGTAAACACTGAATAATGCGGTTGTTTTGTTTGACGTCGGGTCTGTTTATTGAGTGATTATGGACAGAGTTCTTAAGAAGTCTTTGGCACGGCAAGGTGTCGTAGCTCTTTCGCCTAAGGGGCAAGCAGCAATGGAACTGAGATGCCTCGTGGAAAGAAGGAACTGGCTGCCTTGCGATTCTTCGCCAATTCTACACCAAAGGCAGTGGCCAACGCCAGTCAGCCGGGCACTTGCCATCCCATCGTCAAGAATCGCCCTAGGTATAGCCAAGTAACTTGCGGTCCTGCCATTCCTTGGGGAAACCTGTCGCGTCTGCGTCCCACTCCGCCTGTCAGATGCGACTACCTTGGTTGTCGGGTCAGCATGGCTGATATCACTGCGGATGATTCTGACTGGAACATTGACTGAAGACATATGAACTTGTTGCTGGTGGGGTTCCCAAAGGATTTCTTCTTCTGCTCTAAAATACACACATGCGTTACCATTCGTAACCCCCGACATTTCACACTTTTCATGGGTCCGCGTCACCAGCCTTTCTCGCCTGTCGTTATGTTAGTCTTGCAAATTTAATCTGATATATCTGCTGCAGAACCTACCCGCAGAGCGCTAGCACCTCCCAGCTCCCTCTCGAGTCCGTCGGGGAATTCTCTCGGGTATGAAGCCTTGTCGGGGTAGCTGGCCTTAACGACACCGCAGACACCGAGGAAGACGACGATAAAGGCACCGATCTGGGCCAGACCCTTGCCGGTGGTGGTCCAGGTGTACTCGAAGGGGGAGAACATGCCGAGCAAGTCGTGGTCTTCGTGGACAGGCTCGCCAAAGTTGCGGCGCTCCTGCTTGTCCCACCAATCGCCGTGGGGGTCGCGGAACTGTCTCTTGATGAAGGGAGGGTTGATGTATCCGCCGTTCTGCGCGTCTCCAAGTTAGCCACGGCTACCGAGCCTCTCTCTCCGTTTCTCTCGCCGCCAATTGCCGTGTCACTGACCATGTTGGGGTCTTCCGCGTCAGACAGAGTCGGGTACTCGGGGTACTTCTCCTCGAGAACCTTGCGGTCGTTGAACTGAGGAGGGAAGAAGGTACGTTGCTGGACAATCGGGGTTCGTCGGGCGGCCTGGACGGCGCCGCGGACCGTCGAGGCCCGCGCAAATCGTTGGGACAGCATCTGCGGAAGAGACGGATTAGATTGTCAAAATGATCTACGAGTCAATTGAGGGTTGAATGGGAATACCGTGGCCGAGATTGTGGTTCCGATGCGGGCCCAATTGCTTGGTATTTTTGGATGTGATGTCGTCGCAGGTCTGATCCAAAGCTTTGGTCGATTGATGATTGCTAGCCAAATCCCTCGATTGTGGTTGGCTGGACCGGATGTGGTGTATGCCTGAGGCGCGCAACGTCCAGAGCTGGTCACTTTTTTGAGGTGCGCGCCAGTCAGAGAAGGATGTGGGGCGCTTTGGTCCAATACGGGTCTCTGGTTGGATGGAATCGCCCTGACTCCTGTCACCCATTTCGTTGATTCAAGGGAGCAAAGTCCCCCAAACACTGCTCTTCTTTTCATTGGTGGTTCGAGTCACAGTGGTGTGTAGCTGCCTGCCTGTACCTCAGGGCAGCATCAATCGTCCGCCGTCACCACCCGAACGACCTCTATGCCCCTACGCCCCCCGAATCTGAGGGTCTGAGGCCAAGTACCAACGTTCTCTTTTCGGCTAGCCCAGGCAAGGCCGGAGCTGCATCTTTGCAAAAAAATCTATCATCAAACTTTTTGCTGGCGACGCTGGTTTTGCATCCTTTTTCCAACGCAGCCGGTCACCAAGACGTGTCATCATGTTCAAACTCGAAACTAGGATTCTCTGAGTATACACCATTCCATAGACGTTAATTTTGACGCTTCAGATGCCGGCCCCGTCGAGATCACGGCCCCATCTCGCGTCCGCCCCCCGTTGCTATTATGAACAAGACCGCGTCGCCCGACCCTGCGCAACCCACCAACGAGGTCATCGACTCCCAACGCGACGAACAAACCGCAACTGTACCTCAATATGATACCGATCCGCCCTCATCACCTCTTGAATCCCTCGGATCCGACGATTTCGAAGGCCAACTGACCCCCAACGGCAACGACTTCATCGGCCTACCCCTCCGCTCACCATCACCTACATCACCACTATCTCCGTCAACACCCTCGCCCTCGCCTCCCCCTCCCGTGCCCTCCTCCGACATCGATGATGAACGCCCTTCGAAACGACGTCGCGTCTCCACGCCATCTGCGCCTGGGTCTGGCCAGAAAAAGAAACAAATCTCCCCGCCATGGAAGAAGATCACCGCCGAGGGTCCGACCTCTTTCATCGATAATGGCAGACGCAAGTCTGGTCGAATCAACACCATTCCCCTCGAATTTCATCCGCCATCCGGCAAGCGAATGACGAGAGGAGCTCTTCACAGCAGCCCACCCTCCAAGAACAAGTATGCTTCTACCAACGGCCACGCCGCAACGCCCACCCCAAACGGAACTTCCAAGTCCAAGACTCCCTCGCGAAAACCATCAGTAGCAAAGCCCGCACCACCTCCGCCCAAGACCTCCAACCGAAAGTCGACTGCGAACGAGACCAAGTCTACCTCCCGATCCACGCGCAAGCGAAGCCCTTCCCCATCTGCTCAACCAACTAGGCAGTCAACGCGGACAAGGCGGGGCCGTCGCAGCTCCATCGACGATGAGGTAGCGAGAACTTCGGCGGGTAGCCCGAACCGTACGCGGATTAAGTTACGTGTGCGCGCGACCGAGCTACCCGTTGTACATCCGGGACAAGTCAGCAAAAGGCTAAGAATTGGCCCCAACTTTGAAGAGTACTGGGAAAAGGCGCAGGCAATACCCGTTGAAGATGGTGGCATGTACGTCCCAGAGGAGGGGCCTAGCTACACTGATGAGATGGCTCAGAAGGATGCTCAGATTGTCTTGCGCATTGAAGAGGCCGTGGAGCCTGACGGTATCCTTTCACAAGAGCGCTGCACCCTGTTTGTTCCCGAGGCGGAAGAGGAACCACCACGCCAATGGGCCCATGCAGACCACATGGCCAAGGCTGTTACCAACTTCCGCAAGCTAATGGTAGCAGAGCAGCAAAGACATCGGGCGCAGGCCAAGAGGATTGCCGAAGCTTGCAAGGACGCCTGGCTCCGGCGCCAACCAAAGTCAGCAGAAGAACTCGAGGCCGAGACGCGCTTTGTGTGGATCGGGCGATACAGAGTTGTTGTCAAAAGCATGTTTGGAACCTGGGAGAATGTTCGGTACGAGATTAATCGGCGGAGAATTCAAGAATGGGAAGCGGAGGAGCAGCGCCGGGTTAAAGCTGCGCTTCAGGAGGCAGTCAATCTGTCAGAGCAGAAGCTGCAGGCAAGAAGAACACAGGCGGACTCAGACATATCCGACGAAGATGACCTCGACGATGACGACAATGACGAGGACCTTGACGACCTCGACAGCGACCTCGAAAATAGCCAATCAATGTCGGTAGACGCGGATGATGATGACTCCGGCAATGACGACGACGATGTCATGTCATCTTCAGAAGAGGAGGAAGCAGGCGAAGATCACACTGGCGATGCTGGTGACGAGAAGCTCACTATGGAACAGCTTCGTGCCAAATACGCCAACCTACCGGAACTTCCTCCCGACGAGCAAGCCGAAAAGAAGCTTCCTCATGGCGTTGAGTCCGAGGCAGACTCAAAAGTTGTGGCAACCAGCCCCGGAGAAGAGACCAGCGATGAGTCCGTCGACATGGATGACGACATGGGATCCACCGACATGGACGACAGCGATGACGGCTCTGGTGCGGATGAAGAGTCTGAAGAGGAAGACGGAGACGAGGAGCCCTCTGGGTTGTTGGGTATGCTCTTTGGGAAATCCGAGTTGAAGAAGATCAAGGATGAAGTGCCACCTGATGACAAGGAGCCACGTGAAAGCACTGCAGCCTTGGTGGCTGATGGTGCATCCCCACAAGCAGAGGCATCATCGAACTTTAGGGGCGAGATGGTGGAGGATGAAGATGACGATGAAGTGTCTCTGATTCAACATCCCGGTATCTTCTTGGACGGTGATGAGATGGAGATTGACACAGAAGTACAAGCTACTGTGGCACCAGGCGCTGGCGACCAGGGTGATGGTGCCGAAATTGCAGCCTTCGAGAAGGAGCCCACCATACCCCTACAGTCGCTCAAGTCGGATGAGGCCTTGGTCAATGGCATGGACAAGGAACCGACAGTCACGAGTGTAGAAGCCACCACCAACGGGATACCAGAGGCAATGGAATCTGCTGATACGGAAATGCAAGACGCGCCATCGAAAAAACCAGAGGCGTCAATACCCCCAGCGCCATCTACGACTGCTATGGTCCCAACGAAACATATCACCCCTGATACCGATATCGTTACCGTCCCGCCAAGTCGAGAACAAAGTCATTCGCCCCCTACGTCCGACACAAAGCCTTCAGATATTGACACAATGTCTTTGGCAACCCCAGGGGCAAAGGATATTGTCAGTCGGTCAGCTTCACCAACACCCAATTCACAACAGACGCAAATCCCGTTTTTACTTCGCGGTACTCTGCGTGAATATCAGCATCATGGACTGGACTGGCTAGCGGGACTGTATGCCAACAACACCAACGGCATTCTTGCAGATGAGATGGGTCTTGGCAAAACCATCCAGACCATTTCCCTACTCGCTCATCTTGCTTGTCACCATGAGGTTTGGGGACCGCATCTGGTGATTGTACCAACGAGTGTCATGCTCAACTGGGAGATGGAGTTCAAGAAATGGTGTCCTGGTTTCAAGATTCTCTCTTACTACGGCACTCAAGAGGAGAGGAAACGCAAGCGGCAGGGATGGAACAATGATGACGTATGGAACGTCTGCATCACATCTTACCAGCTTGTCATCCAGGACCAACAGGTCTTCAAACGCCGGAGGTGGCACTACATGATCCTCGACGAGGCTCACAACATCAAGAACTTCAAATCCCAGCGGTGGCAGACGCTACTTGGTTTCAATACTCGGGCAAGGCTTCTACTTACAGGCACTCCACTTCAAAATAACCTCACCGAGTTGTGGTCGCTGCTGTTCTTCCTTATGCCAGCCGAAAATGGTGTGGGTGGATTCGCAGACTTGCAAGAGTTCCACGATTGGTTTCACAAGCCAGAGTCTCAAATCCTGGAAAACGGCCGCGAGACGATGGACGAGGAAGCGCGAGCGATCATTTCCAAGTTGCACAAGGTCTTGCGACCGTATCTACTACGAAGACTCAAGGCCGACGTCGAAAAGCAAATGCCGGCCAAGTACGAGCACGTCGAGTTCTGTCGCCTGTCGAAGCGTCAACGCGAATTGTACGATGGCTTCTTGGCTCGCACAGACACCCGGGAGACGTTGTCCTCTGGCAATTACCTTTCCATCATCAACTGTCTGATGCAGTTGCGGAAAGTCTGCAACCATCCCGATCTTTTCGTGGACCGCCCCATCATGACTTCCTTTAGAATGCAGAAATCTGTTCCAGCAGAATACCAGGTGACCGACCAGTTCCTACACCGATCTTTACTTGCAGTAGAGCCAATGTCTATTGTTAGCCTGGGTGTTCTCAACATGATTCCTACGCAGCACGAGAACATGTCCAACACGACAGCGGAGCGTATTTCGCAGCTCAGCCTTCACAGGGTCCTGATGGAACTAAGAGAGGCACAGAACACCAGAGCCCATCTAGCTCGTACAAACCTCGACCCTTCCACAGTTGAGTCGAACATTATGTATCTGGATAGCCTGGCTCGCTGGCGCCGCTTCGAGGAATTGCAGCACAGCGTGTACCTGAATGCTCTCCGTGGCCAACGTCGGCCCATCTATGGCAAGCGCTTGATTGATTTCTTGACGCTCGGATTAGACGGTAGACCCCGGAAACCCAAGCCAAGAGTTCCTAACCAGATCTTGAATTGGTTTGCGGAGGATTCCGACTTCCTCCGTGCCGTTATCCGCCCAGCTGACGAACGAGCCGATGCCATGCAGACGATCATCCAAAAGTTCACATGCGTCACTCCCGCCGTCATCACTCGCGACATGAACGAGGTGATACTGGGAAGAAAGGCGGCTCAGGCCTTTACGGACGAGGACCTCAAACTCTCAGCCCCCGTCCGGTGGGCTCCTTTCATGCCCAAGCAGCCACCCATTGACCCATGGCACGAGTCTCGCATGCGTCACAGTATCCAGTTCCCAGACAAGCGACTGTTGCAATACGACTGTGGAAAGCTTCAAGCTTTGGACAAGCTTCTTCGCAAGCTTCAAGCCGGCGGCCATCGTGCCTTGATCTTTACACAAATGACCAAGGTCCTGGATATCCTTGAGCAGTTCCTCAATATCCACGGCCACAAGTACCTTCGACTTGATGGACAAACAAAGATTGAGCAGCGGCAGATCCTCACGGACAGGTTCAACCATGACCCACGCATCTTGTGTTTCATCTTGTCTACACGTTCCGGTGGATTGGGCATCAACCTTACTGGGGCTGATACCGTCATCTTCTACGACCAAGACTGGAACCCAGCCATGGACAAGCAATGCCAGGATCGATGCCATCGAATCGGTCAAACACGAGATGTACACATCTACCGACTCGTCAGCGAGCACACGATTGAAGCCAACATTCTTCGTAAAGCGTCGCAGAAGCAGATGCTGGACGACGTGGTCATTCAGGAGGGTAGTTTCACCACGGACTACTTCAACAAACTTTCCGTGCGGGATGTCCTTGGCACTGAAGGGACCGACCTTGTCGATGATGCCGCTAACGCCGCCATGGACCGCCTTCTGGGTGGAGGAGACAGTGGACCGTCGAGAACCGTGGCCGAGGACCTTAAGCAGGCCGAAGACCAGGAAGACGTGGAAGCCGCCAAGGCAGCCGAGAGGGAAATACAAGACGATGACGCCGAGTTCAACGAGAAGAGTGGCGCACCTTCTGGCGCCTCTAGCACCCGCCAAGGCACGCCGCGAGAGGACGTTGCCGGCCAGCCAGGCGGCGGCCCCGGACCCTCTGGCCTAGGCCGATTCTCTGAATCCGTCGCCCCGGATGAGACGGTAGAGATTGAACACAACGCGTGGGGCGAGAGAATATATAATGTGGACGAGTACATGCTCCGGACGATGTCGGAGCAGCTCAAGGGCACGGCGCTAGACCTGCCCAAGGATAAAAAGAAGAGTAAAAAGAAGGGTCGCGACACACGGAAGCGGTAGGCTGTCTGTTTGCGTGTGTGTCGAAGAGGCGGCACCTTTGTGTAATTGGACGATTGATTTCCGTTTCTGTATTATACGGTTCTTTTTTGAGATGGTCTCGAGGAATAGACCTTTGCATGTATGTATTGCTTGGAGGGGAAGCAAACGGCGTCTCAGAGGAATCAAGCCGTGAACGAGGCGTTTTGGGTTGGTGAGGGGAGGTCCCCAAGGAAGCATAGACATGGACGAGAGTCAAAATCAAGATAAATCTCCAAGCATTCGTTATTCGGCTACTCTCCATGTACGTGATTTGCGATTTCCATTGTTTGTCTGTAGGAACCAAGGATGTGACGGATCAGATCCTATCAGACCGACGCCATGGACGAAGACCCCGCGACACCCTTCCTCGCAACCTCCTCACTCCAAGCCTTCGCCTCTCTCCTCAACTCTCTCTTCACATACCAAAACGTCGCAACCGTCCAGACACCAGCCCACACAAACGGCAACGACCACCCAACAACATACGCAACCTCCCCATCCAGCGTAAAAATCAACGCCGTACAAAGCACAGCACACCCCTCGGCGCCAACAGCCCAAAACGCACCCAACCGCCTCAGCATCGCGCGAAAAACGTGGCTCGCCTCGTAGCGCCTATCAAGCGCGACGCGGAAATCGGTGCCGCCGGACCCGTCGACGGCGCAGACGTCTTCGATGAGGGAGTAGATGCCCGGTCGGAGCTGGGCTCTGCGGGGCACGGAGGAGATGCGGAGAGGGGAGGGGAGGTGGAGGGCGCGGAGGGCGTCGATTAGGAGGAGTTGGGTGCCGAAGACGAGGAGCATTGTTGGGACGGGCATGGAGAGGAGGCGGATTGGGGGATTTCTTGGGACGGTGCCTCTTGGATGGTGTCAATAATGTGTGATTTGGAGTGCCTATCACATATGAACGGGAGGGCGGGGCACTTACACGATGAGTTCAATCATGATGATGATCCATGCAAAGGAAAAGTTCCAGTGAAACCAATCGAGGTACCACCTATGCGCCCCGATGACACGACACGTACTCCCTTTACGCCAAAGCCGCCAGAAGCGGACAAAGTACTCCACGATGCTGGCGCCGCCGACAGCCGCGGTGACGATGGAGAAGACGGCGTTGGGGGAGAGTTTTTCTTTCTTTTCGGTGAGCGTGTTCGTCCCCGGGCCAACGCCGTACCAGAGGCCAAAGTAGAGCGCTATCGGCATGGCGATGGAGTCGAAGAGGATGAGAGTCCAGAAGAGGGCGATTGCTATCTTGCGGGTGCGGAGGGTGTAGTTTAGAGGTGGCGGATTTGGTTGGAAGGCCGGGAGGGTTCGGGGGGGTGCCCCGGCCGTACCGGGGGCTTCGCCGGTGTGGGGTGTGTTTGGGTCCGTTGACGTTCGCGTGGGTGAGAGGGAGCTTCGCCGGGTCATGGCGAGGCTTGGACGGCTGAAGGGGCCGTCGTAGCGGCGGTCAAAGTCATGACTTGGTCTGGTGATGCGCTTCTTTGGGGATCGTGGGGATGAAGGTTGGTTGTGTGGTGCTGATGCTGGGCGCCGTGATGTGTCGATATCTGGTAGATGATGCACCGCTCGCGACCTTTTCTCACCAAGGACGTCTCCATCTCTTGTGTCGGAATTATTTTCATGTTGTCGTCGACTATCCTCACGTAGCTCATGTAGCGTAGAAGCTGGCTTCTGCGGTTGAATGATCTGTAAGCTATGGCGACCAAACGCTGTAGGATCATTTCGATGAGGAGGATGATGTTCGGTGTTGACATCACTGGGGCGCGGATGCCTCGGATCAGGGGGATTGTCGGCCCCAGGAGCTGCTTTCTCATTCATTGCTGTCAGAAGCCAGCGAGATCGTAGACTTCTACGAAGCGAAAGTAGAATGTAATGCCTTTGGAGAAAGATTTTGCGAAGAAAAGATGAACATTATGAATTCCATGACGTTATCCGTAGTTGAATAATATATCAAAATAGATAGCAATACATCACGTCGCCAAGACTCCAGAGGGGGACGATCATGACCTTCCGGGACTTCCAACGGAAAGTCGCACTGATCGCACCAAACCGATGAATGAGGACCCACGGCTAAAAGAAGGCAAATGGAAGATCCGAAGCTTCATTTATTGGGCGAGAGACGTCGGGTGGTGACATTCGGGGGGCTAGGAGCAGAGGCTCCGCCGGGGAATCAGGGATGATGTCAGGATGAATCCTGTGGCAAACCTGAGAAGCTTCCATCTTCCCCCAGCCTAGGCACGTGAGAGCTGATTCGGGCACGACCAGGTCGGTCGTACCGGCTCTAGAAGGTCAATCTTGGGAACTTGCCCGATCAACGGCGGAGGTGGCCGTCAACACGCGGAAAGGGACGTTGGCTGGTGTTTCCTTCGAGTACACTTGACATCATGCAATGAGAGCACTGCACAAATAGAAGGTAAGGACTTTCCTAGAGAGATAAGATAAAATGTTCTTGCCGCTTAGTCATCTCACCATAGCTGCCAAGTGATTAGGCTCTCCCAACTTACTGGGTGCCTGGGATACCCCTCATCCCAAACACACCTCACTTCTTCGCCGTGAAGCTCATGGTGGCCTTCTCACTATCTGGAGATGAGCTACATTTGTCACCATCTGTCCAACCATGCGTCTGATCAATACGGCAACACTGGAGCTTGAGGAGTTTATTGACCATGCCCGCACCCCATCATACGCCATTCTTTCCCATACCTGGGAGAATGGGGAAGTATCGTCCCAAGAATGGAATCACCATGAGACTAGGATAGGAAAGAAAGGCTTCCTTAAGATCAAATCGTTCTGCCAGCTGGCCTCGCAGGACGGGTTCACCCACGCTTGGGTAGACACCAACTGCATCGACAAGCGCAGCTCCACCGAGTTATCTGGGGCTATCAACTCCATGTTTGCCTGGTACCAAGAGGCAGTTTTTTGTTATGTTTATATGGCCGACGTATCAGTCTCAAGGAGGACCACGGGTCATCGCGATCTGGACAGTCAATTCCTGAATAGCAAATGGTTTACTCGTGGCTGGACTTTGCAAGAGCTGATTGCCCCTCGCCACATTAACTTCTATGCTAACGATTGGGGATTCATTGGAACGAAGCAAAGTTTACTTGAAGCAATACACCGAGCAACCGGAATTGATACAAAGTGTCTGTTAGGTGAAGCATCCCCCTCTGAGTTCAGTATTGCCAAAATCATGTCTTGGGCCGCCGGTCGTGTTACAACTCGCCTCGAAGACCAAGCATATTGTCTCCTCGGTCTCTTCGATGTCAACATGCCGCTCCTCTACGGAGAGGGCGGCAAGGCTTTCATAAGGCTGCAAGAGGAGATAATCAGAAAAACAGATGACCAGAGCATCTTTGTCTACGACATGCCGACCCTGTGCATGACAGCACCCTTGGCTACGTCTCCTTCGCTGTTCGCTAATTCAACAAATGTCAGCCGCTGGTTCCGTTTGGCAGCTCAAATGGCAACGATACCGCCGTTTTATACAATGACCAATGCCGGCCTTTCAATATCGTTGCCACTGATCCAAACCTTGTCACCTAATTTCGTTCTGGGGGTCTTGAACTGCAACACGGTTGAGGAGTACACTAGTAGCTCCGTTTGCCTACCTTTATCATCTCACATGGGCCTTCACTGCCGAAAGTACACTCGAGTATCCCTGCCTGCACCGTGGATATCGCTAAGTTTGCCTACGGCTTCAATAAAATCCCTTCTTCCATGGTATGAAGAAAACGCCGCTCGTCTCGATAATTGGTCCTCGGATTTCCAACCCGAAAAACTGACGAACATTATGATCTCCATGCTTTCCCAGCTGGACCGGGAAATTCTCTCGAGGTGGGTTTTTGGACCCTCCAAGCAAATGACAGGGAAGGCTGCCAAGGTCTCTTGCTTCATCACGTTCCCGCGTGGCCTTTCCGGCTATCGTCTTTACGCAGCAGACCCCCCCGAAGCGCTGGACGAACAAACGAGTATGATGGCCATGCTTGACCAAAAGATCACCGATGGGAATAGTCGCGGCCTGCTTGTCTTTGAGGAAAGGGGCTCCAGACTTGGCAACGGCAAATACATTGGGATCTACGTCGAAGCGGCATTGGACTACAAAGGCGCCTTGGGAGACTGGCCTCGAGCATGCCGCGTATTGCCAAATTGGAATGTACGAGACGGCGTTGATGTCGTTACCCAGCTCAACAAAAGGTTTCCACCCAGTCGAGCAAGCTGGGTTGGAGATATCTTGGTAACGATCAGGACTGCGATACCGGTCAGGCACAGTCATCCACTATCAACGACCGTCGCATTGATGGTGGAAATTGTCTTTGGCATGGACCACCCTCGAGGTTCTCAAGGTCGAAAGGGTTCGATTAGCGAGTCAATGAGCTCGGATCGGGACGGCCCATTATTGAGAGACTTTAGCGAGTCTGAATGATTCCAATGTCAAAAGTAAAGCATGGGATTCTTGGTCCTGAAAGGAAATTCTAGCAGCATACACCTATCATCTAGTTGGGGTCCTGCCAACTGTAGTTTCAAACTCAAAGTCACTCATTAGGATATGCATTTGGGCTGAAAGTTGTGAGAATTCCAGTTCAATTGAACAGAACAGACTGTGCAGCGCAGCTGCTCCGGCAGCTCAGCTGGCCATTCTGTCTCCAGCTATCAATACACTACACAAAAGGAAACTCGCTAATAACTTCATATAATCATCAGATCTCCATCAATGGATCCTATACCATCTTCCTCCCCCAAATACCGCGCTGCTTAGGCCATGACCTCAGCGTGGAACTGTTCCTGTGCGCCAGCGGGAGCCGCGGGAGCGGCAGGGGCAGCGGGGGCAGCAGGAGCAGCAGGCGCGGCACCACCAGCGGCATCACCGCCGAGCTTCTGAATACCACCATCCAGGGACTGAGTGACCTGGTCAACAGACTGCTGAGCAATACCCTGGCCGATGGCTGGGACCTTGGAAACGATCGCACTGCTGAAGTCCCCAGCAGTCGCCTTCTGCTGCTTGAGCTGGTCAACGGCGATGGAAGTGGCGCCAAGCTTGTCAAGCTCGGGCTTCTTGGCGACCAAGTCATCGACAGAGGTCTGGACAGCGGTGGTCAGGCCACCGGCTGACTGCTGGAGGGTGAGGGCATCGGTGAGGGAGAGCTCCTGGGCGCCCTGAATTTGCGTGGTACCCTGCTTCAGCGAGGTCTGGACCTTGTTGGAGGCATCAAGCAGGTTAGCGGCGGTGTTGGGATCCGCAGCGTTGAGAGCCTATGCAAGAAGGGATTAGCTTCGGTCACTGAACAATGTTCAAGTCTTCTTTTCGTACCTTGACAGCGGTGTCGAGCCCGGTAAGAGAGTCCTGGACGCTGGTCAAGGCAGCCTGGATGGGCTGAAGTTGACGCTTGCTGGCGAGAGAAGCGGGAGCTGCAACGGCAGAGCCGGCAAGCAGGGCCTGGACGAAGACGTTGGTGAAGTGCATTTTGATTGGTATTTGGTGAGCAAAGGCTTTATTTGGATTGAATCGAAGATTAAAAATTCTTTGGAATGGTGTTGGAAGATTGTTGGAAGCTGAGAAGGCTGGATGCTGATGAGATGGAAGGAAAACCTGAGCTACACCAGGAGATCCACCGTCTTAATATACCAGCTTCGAGACATTGACAACAAGTCAACTTGGCCTTTGCCTTTCAGTCACCGAGACTTCATCCGAGCCATTGCAGTCTCAGTCCAAGAGACATCAATTACCGTACGACTCATCAGCCTGTATCCCCAGTACCTAGACCTGCGGTACGCAAAACCAACTCCTCTCACAGTTAGCATCGTCAGAACCTGTCAGTACTTGCCTAAGCTGTTGCAATTGGCGCCGCGGGAGCCTCATCCGGCTGGGTGTAGTCACGGCCGAGGATGAACCCTTGAAACGCGCGCAGACGGCACGCCATGCAGCGTGGTTCGGCCGTCGACCAAAGATCACGGCTTTCGCGGTCAGACGAAACGAAATGTGGATTCACGGACCCTAGCTAGAAGCGTCAGTCTCTCGACCCGGGCAGCAGTGACAGATTTTTACAATGAGTCTGCATGGCAACCCTGAACGAGAAAGGGAGATCCCTTCTATTTTCATCCTCCGGCAGCGGTACTGCTCATTCCCCATGGTGTTTGCGTTCACGAATCGCACCGCCTAGACCATATTGCGATCGCGGCAAGCTGCGATACCTGCCGAAGCATTTCAGATGGCACGAATCATTACTTTCTTTCCCTTCAATTTGTCAAGAGCTCATATCAAATGTTTCTGCTCGACAGCTATGAAGGCTCCGAGGTAGCACTGAGGGCTTAGATTTCGATATCAGACCCGCGGTCTTGGCAAACGTACTGCAAACTGTCACGCCTCTCGGCCCGCAATTACTCTCCAGACTAACGCAATAAGCTTACTTAATGGTTCAAAACTTCAGTAGACTGATCAGTGGCGCAGACTGAGTAGACTTCACTCCTGCAGAACTTCAGGAAACTGGTGCGGGAACGCTAGCACACAGCAGCACCTCGGGGTGTTCCGCCTGCACATAAAATGTTAGCGGTATGCGTGTCAGTTGCCTCTAGTGCCTAGCACGGCGGAGTAGCGCCATACAAACATCTCACAGATTCTTGTTTCTCTGGCAGCCGCTAGTGCGGCGAGGAATGTCATCGTGCGTTCACGTCTCGATGAGAGCCTCCACGACGTCTTAGCACCCAATCTCCCAATGAGCGTGGCAACGATTTCTGCCAGTGCCAAGCAATCGAAAGCCGCGCATTCGGATTCGACTCAGCATCCTGTGCCTATCCGAGACAGTGACACAGTTGACAAATGTCTGCCATATGCCACTTCGGCGCAGGTTTGCTCTGCAGAGGTCCGTGCCAGGCGCGGCTATGCGCCTGGCTAGGACTCTGGAGCTGCAACCCTGTCGCCAATTTGTTTCTGGGACGGGGGTGGCTGAGGATGGGCTATCCCGACATCGACATGAATGACTGAATCTGTCATTGTTGTGGTGGTGGCATCAAATGGTCCCTCCCTTGGGTCAGTTCGTCGGATGGCACAATAGGATTTGTGGATGCCAGGGGCCAAGTGATCGTGGACCACCTGGTGGTCTTCGGAGCGGGAGGGGATACGTGCGAGACATCTGGCACCTCTCACTCGATGTCCAACCCTCGTTCGATGTCCGATGTTTTCAAACAGTATACGGCGGCGCGCTGTGCCCCCGAGTTGGCTGGTTCACGAGCCTGGACCAAGAATGGCGAACCACCGAGGCTGGTTGGCTTGGACCGCGGATTCGTCACATCCGATTCCCCCAGAACCTTCTCGGTCTGAAATGTCACTGTACTGAGAGTCCGGTGTAGCTCATGGTCTCAAAATCCGGACCCTTGGTAGTCCGGTCCCCAGTCTCCCAAGAGGGTTGACTCTGCACGGGAGACTCTGAGCTGCATCATCTCACAATCTCCTTGCCTGACCAAGAAGGTTTCGCTGATGGCCTTTTCCTCTTGGTATTTTCCTAAGCCGATTACTTCCCAGAATGGATATTTGGAGCTTGTCTTGCAAGTCGTCACTGGCCAGATGAGACTCACACACAAGAGGCCCCGATATCAATAAACCCCTATCGCGCTTTGAAGCTGCATCACTTCTTCAGAGGCACGAGCGGAGTTATAGGGTATTCGGCAGATGGTTTTCAGGGAATGAAATTATTATTCGTGGCACACATGCGGAGAAGACTGGAGAAATAAGTAGGTGACGAGATATCTGCTTTGACCTCAAGACATTCATTTCGAATGCGATTCGCTCCTCATTGAATAAGCTTATTCTGTGATGCGTGCTGATTGGAGGGGAAGTGGTTCATCACACTTTTACCAGTGGCGAACAACGCCTCGGTAGATTACGTGATGGAATGAGTGATTGGTATGGCTTCCGGCGAACGGAAGGTAGAAATGGGTAGATAAAACCAGCCGAGCTCCCAAGTCACCCACACCACCGTTTCTTTCTGCTTGATGTTGTAAGATGCAGTCCGACAAATCTTTTATGGCGATGCAGCATTATAATAATTCCAATCGCGCTTCGCAAAGCCAAAGTGATACAGTCTAGCGCCAACTGGGGATGGTATGGAAAAGATCACGAGGAACTCAACCCGTCAATCGACAAACTCCAAACTCTGCCCACTCCAGTTAAGAAAAACTCCCTACTCTTACAGACGGACCCTTGGGGGTATTTACTCTGCAGAGGGTCCGGCATGGGGGCCAACTTCGTTGGTAGAGTTCGTGTTGGTGAGTAAAGATGAACGCAGCCTGCAGGACCGAAAGGCAAATCGCGATGGGCGGATGACGAAAGGGGTAAAGTTAGCTAATGGAGGGGCGAACCGTTGGTCTGAGATTCGTATTCGGAAAGCTTACATGAATTGAACCTTGAATCTTGATTGTATCTGAGTAGATCCCTAGCACTACTCTTTGGTATCAAGGAATAGCGTGACTTCAACAAGCGAATGTTGAAAACAAACCAAACTTCCAGTAGAGGGCTCAGCCACTCTGAATATGGGAGTGTTTTGATTCTTTCATCTTAATCAAGCTTTGAACTTTCTTAACAGTCTCGGATAAGACTATCTTAGACTTTTCTTTACGACGGAGGACTGTACCTGACCACCGTTTGCTAACCTAAGCTGCCATATCCAGGGAATTTGTTCTTGTTCTACTTTGATCATAGTCTGGATCTCATTCTCATGGCTGAATAAGAGAATCAATTACAAATCCGCATGGTGGTGGAAGTGGAGTAGTTCATCGATATCGTGGCCATCGTCCCATCACACTCGTTCTTGCATATGTGGCTTTCTGGTTTCTTTTTTTACTATATTGTTCCCAATATATGGCCAAATGCAGAGATTCAAATACTATAAAACAAAGAAGCAGAGAAAAAATACAGAACTTTGAGACAACAACCCGCCGTTGGACGTTGAGACTAAAATCTCGAATTGCGCAGTGCGGAGAAAGACATAGCAATATCAACTCACTCTGTGGTAAGCTGTCTCCGTAATATGCCGTAGCGTACGATCATAAGCAGTAGACACCCTTTTCGATTAACCGACAATATCTGACTTCTCGCACGTATTAGAAGTTGAATACACTGGTAGCGGTGGCGCCGAGACAACGATAACGGTTGACTGGTAAAGGCTTGGCTGGCTAGCTGTTGTTCGCTTCTCACTGTTGACACTAGCTAACGGGCCCAGATAGCTCCCATCACAGGCATGGCCGAAGAGACCCCATCTAGGCAGCTGTTGCTTGCACGCGCATGCTTGCTGTGTCGCTTCGTAGACTGCGTACAACCTATTTATACTATTCCCACAAGGCAACAGAGACAAAGCTCGTGCTTGAAAAGTAAGTACATGTACGTGGTCTAGGCCCATGGTCAATCACCGAAAACAAAGCCTACTCTACAATTACAAACAGTTGTTTGTTTCAAGAACACGGCAATGATTTTATCCGGGTCTTTTCGTTTGCTGAGCTTTTAACCAGCAATGGCCAAAGTTCACTCCGCGCCCAGTCGAGCACCCGAGATCGAGTACCTCAGCGGCTCCTCCAAAACTGACTGCTCTTTCCGCAGAGATCATAATCTATCCTTTCCTCAGAAATTCTCAAATTTTTCTGTGTGTCATGCGCAGTTAAGGCGCTTTTTTGAAGTGATGTAATCTGCCAGCGGACAAAATCGGGAATGACGCCGGCCGAGATCCCGTAAAAATGGAACCTTGACCGGGCCCCGAATCCTCGCAGCATCTCCGATCCGACCCGCTCCGATTTAGCTTCCTATCCGGGCCAGCCCCGTGATCCTCTATCGCGGAACATCTCGGACACAGTCAATCCTCCATATCGAGTCCAGATTCAAGTCCAGATAGCACAAAGCATTGCAAAGCCAAAGGCCAGAACACAGTCCTCGGTCCATATCGCAGTTCAACCCCTTTAAATCGTCGTAGTCAGCTCACTCACGGAATGATTGATGAATGGGATATCGTACACTTCGAACAGGATATACTTCCAACCTGCCAAACATGTCCGAAATGAAAGTCCTCGTCCTGGGTCTTCCCAGAACAGGCACACAATGTATCCCCAATCACCCATCCCCATATACATCACTCTAACGCCCCCCCAGCCCTCGCCGACGCCCTCGCAATCCTCTCCATCGCCCCCGTCTACCACATGCGCGAAGTCGCCAAAAACACCCACCAAGACCTCTGGATCGCCGCCATAAACGACAATCTCCCCATCTCCAACCCTAAAAGCCCCTGGTCAAAATCCCAATGGGCCGCCCTCCTCTCCCCCTACGCCGCAGTCTCCGACTTCCCCCCCTCCCTCTTTCCAACCGCCCTCTCAGAAGCATACCCAACAGCCCCGATAATCCTAACCACTCGCTCCTTCGACTCCTGGGCGTCCTCGATGCGCGATACCCTGATCCACGCACACCTCCACCGGGACAAACACCAAAAGAAATCGCCGATGAAGGGGTTGGCGGACGCGTACCACTCTATCTGCTGGGACAACAACTTTGAGAAGAATGGAGAGGCGTATTTTCAGAGACATCACGAGGAGGTGAGGGCGTTACAGACTGAGGGGCGAAAGTTTCTCGAGTATAAGCCTGGAGACGGGTGGGAGCCGCTTTGTGCTTTTTTGGTAGTCGAGGTGCCGGATGCGCCGTTTCCGAGGAGTGATGATTGGGTTGAGTATAAGAAGAAGGTTGAGCAGGACGGGAGGGAAGCTGGTGCTGTCAAAAAGTAGACAGATCATCAAGGGTGCATTGAACATGAGCACATTGTGGCACAAGGGAAATTCTATGCTGTGGGTTGAGCTCGGAAGATCGAGTTCATTTTATTCCGTGGCATTTTGGGCCGGAGTAAATCCTCAACAGCCAAAGCCTGATAGAAAGGATACTAAAAGAGTGTGACGAAAGCAAACGTATCACCAAAGCCCGAAAGCCTGCCAGACTCATGTTGAATAGCCCCATTCTGCCTGATTTCCATTACCGATGTTGGATCCGATATCAATCCAGCCAATACTCCGCACCGAGGCGCCGACTACCAGGAAACTTCCCGTCCATTTTACTTAAGCCTGTGCAGAGACATCTGCTTTGCAACAGAATTTTGTCCAATCTAGAGCGCGGACTAAACCTGTCCTTCGGAACTGCGTGCAATCATGCCGAGACCCATGTGACGCTTCACAGCCTTCCAGGTTTCAATGAGAGCAATGTAAACGACGAGGCAGGCAACCACAATACCCCACTCCCAGGTAATCATGCCGTGCTTGAAGACAGCGCGGTTGACGACAGGGAGATAGATGACGGGGAAAGTCATGATGAAGCCGCCGGCGACGGCCCAGAACAAGAAGCGGTTCTTGAAGACGGTCTTGAATACGGCTGTGGGACCAGTCCACAACTCAGGGTTCATGTTGAACAAGCTGCGCTGGAAGTGCTTGACCTCCCAGGCAGTGACCAAGAGCAGGAAGCTCAAGGTGGCGTAAACGGTGGATCGGGCCCTGAAGACAACGCCACAGGTTTCGTTCCAGCCGTCGTTGCAGTGGCTGCCGAGATCACCCGCGCCTGGTCCGTACGCAACGGAAGTAAACGCGGCCAAGCAGAGCGAGCCCATAAAGAAACCGTAAATCATCTTGTCGCGGATCAAGTCCCAGGTGAAGACACCGACGCGGAGACTGTGGGGGGCACGCAGGAGGATATCGGGTTGAGCCTCCTCCAGACCAAGACCGATAGCCAGGAATGAGGAAGTGATAAGGTTGACCCATAGAATCTCCAAAGGAGACAGAGGGAAGATGGAGGTGCCACTTCTGTCCTTGAAAGAGAGACCAATAAGGAGAAGGATGACCTGGGAGATATTGGAGATCAAGAGATGGAGCAAAAACTGCAAGCCTGGTTAGAAAAGTGTCTCGAACGAATACATGCGTGGAGGACCAACCTTCTGGATGTTGTCAAACAAGCGGCGACCTTCCTTAATGGCGGTGACGATGGAAGCAAAGTTGTCATCGGTGAGAACCATGTCCGCTGCCTCTTTGGAAACGTCACTGCCTCTCTTGCCCATGGCAATACCAACATCAGCTTTCTTGAGAGCAGGCGAATCGTTGACACCGTCACCAGTCATAATGCAGTAAGCCTTGCGACGATGCATGGCCTCGAGCATTCTAACCTTGGTCATAGGGCTGCATCGAGCGACCACAAGAGGAAGGGCTTCAAGAGCGTCAACTTCGGCGTCGGTCATGGCGTCGAATTGTCCAGCGGCCATGACTGCAGTGGATGGCTCGCCGCCACGCAGGATCCCGACCTCATGAGCAATGGCAGTAGCAGTCTTAATGTGATCTCCGGTGACCATGTGAACTGAGATACCAGCCGTGTTGCACTTCTTGACGGCTCCGAGAGTCTCGACACGAGGGGGGTCGTACAGGCCAGCAAGACCTAGGAAGCGGAGCTTGCACTCCGTTTCGTTTCTCTCGCTAGCGTTATCAGCGTCTTCAAGGAATCGTTGAGCAACGCAGAGAACTCTGAGACCCTCTGAGGCCAGCTCGTCAGCCTTGGCCGCGATCCTCTGCTTGACGTCGTCCGATTCGGCCAACCTCTCGACCATGACTTCGACTGCACCCTTGGTAAACACCTGGCGGGGAGCGCCAGGGAACTCGTAGACGACACTCATGAGCTTGCAAGTGGAGTCAAAGGGGAATTCGTACAACATCTTGGTCTTTTCAGACGAGATGAGGTCGGCCTTTCCTTTTCCGTATCGCATAGCGAAGACCTGAAGGGCAATCTCGGTAGGCTCACCGATGGCGGTCCAAGAAACTGGTACCTCAGTAGCAGTAGTCATAGACTCGGTATCGGTCGAGGCCTTGCCATCGGTAACAGCGGAGTTGTTGCACAGGGCAATAGCCTTGAGGAAGGCGCCAAAGGACGAAGAGATGATAGTGTCGTCAGACTTCTCGACCGTTGGAGTCGATGCTCCACTAGAGCCCGAGCTTGATGCGGTCGATCCAGGCCAACGCACTTTGCCGCTGGTAGGGTCGTAGGGGTCTGTAGTGCCCTCTATAATGGCGGTCGTATCTTCGGCCAGCCAGATCTTTCTGGTAATCATTCGTCCCTGCGTGAGCGTACCTGTCTTGTCGGAGCAGATGTTGGTGACACCACCAACGGCTTCGAGAGAGGAGAGCTTGCGAACAATGACGTTTCCAGACGCCATTGCTTTGGTACCAACAGCCATAGTGATGGTGAGGACGGCAATAAGGGACTCGGGAATGACGGCGACACCGACGCAGATACCGTAAATGAGAACCTGATCATCAATGTCGAACTTGCTGACCGCGAAGACGATGATGGCCAACAGGATAGCCAGACCGAAGAGCAGAAGAGCGAACTTGCTAAGCTTGACCTGAAGAGGGGTGCCCTCGAGACCCAGGATGCTCTTCATGGCAGCCTTGGAACGCGCGAGAGCACGGGCGGGAAGTGAGGCATTCTCGTCTCTCTTACGAGTAGTTCGAAGCATCATGGCGATCTTGCCGACCTCGGTTTCCATACCAGTGGTGGTGACGATACCGCGAGCGCGTCCTCGAGTGACGGTGGTAGCTGAGTAAACCATGTTGATGCGGTCGCCGAGGGGGATATCAGCCTCCTCGAAGAGTGCCTCTGGGTGCTTGCTGATGGGCAGCGACTCGCCGGTGAGGAGGGCCTCGTCGATGGAGAGGTTAATTCCCTCGAGGAGACGAAGGTCTGCTGGGACGACATCACCGACAGCGATCATGACAAGATCACCCTTGACCAGAGTCTCGGCTTTGATGGTCTCCGCGATTCCGTCGCGGACGACCTTGCACGTCGGGGCGGACAGCGCGTACAGACTCTGGATAGTCTGCTCGGCATTGTAGTCCTGGACAAAGCTGGAGAGATGTCAGCCATGAGCACTAAACGAACTCAGTGCTAAGACAGGGAAATGTGTGCGAGACCGAGTTGGCTCGGTGGCAGGGGTAGAGGACGAGCCACTTTGCCAAGAACCTCACGGGCAGGGTACATTGAGTGCGGCACCACGGGAGCGGTCAGCATTCACCCAACCCAGCCCAGCCACGCGCCGCGGTACGGCAGCCAGGCCAGTCGTGCATTGCAACGACTCAAGACAATTATGAAATCGGTTGGCCAAGCACGAGGAAGCAGAGGGAAACAGGCATATACAAGTGCGAGGGAACAAGGTAAAGGCAGGCGACGCAACTTACCCCACGACGATGTTAAGAAGGATAACGGCGGTGATAACACCTCCTTCAATGTAATCTTGGATAGCAAAGGACAGAATCATGACGATGACAAGAACCAAGGTCAGACTGTTGGAGATTTGTCTCATGACAATCTCCCAAATGGATAGGCCCTTTGCGCCCTCGATACGATTAGGCCCGTCCCGTTCAAGACGGGCGGCAGCATCGGCCTTTGAGAGGCCATTTTCAAGGTCGGTTTGCCAGAGGAGACCTATGTCCGTGACAGGAACCGAATGGGCAGGCCGCTGAGGGACCGGGTTGGGAATGGGCGGGGGCCGCGGTATAGACGGCGGCTCGTCCTGCTCGGGATTCACTTCCGCGGCAGCTGTGTTGTGTTCACCATGCCTGACGGCTTCGGGTTCTCCCATCGGATATCGGTAGGTTACGGCTTAAAATGCGCGCTTGGGGGGGTTGAATGGTGTGTGTTGGTGCTTTTGGTAAAGCCCTGCAGATATTGATCTGGAAAGAAGTCTGTTAATAGAGAACGGGCAAGCTAAGAGCTTGGGGGTGGTGATGAAGAAGAGAAGGGGAAAAAGAGAGAGAGGAGGGTAGAAGAGGTGTGTGCTAGGAGACCGCGTTAAGTTATACTTTTGTGGCGGGTGGAATGGGTGCCAAGAGAGGAGAGCGTGGATGTATTTACCGGAAAGACGACCAAGCCTGGTGGAGGGTGGATGGATGGATGGGATACTGGGAGATCTGGACGTATCTCCGCAACGGACGAACGAGAGACCCGGATACTGATAGAGAGAGAGAGAGAGGGCGAGGTACCTCTTACCAAACGATCCCCGTTGACTGTCCGAGGACTGGGGTAGGAGGAGTGGAGGAATGCAACGCGGGCGCGGGACGGTGGTGGGAAAATAGCTCCGACCGAACGGGACGACGAGTGGATGGGCCGAAGAAGTGAGGACCGAAGCGCATCCGTTGGGCGACTTCCTGTCTTGGACTTTGTCTGGGGAGATGGAGCCAGTGAGGTATTCGTACCGTGTCCGTCATGAGCTAAAGTAGGGCCACAATTGTTAGTGACGGAACGAAGGAATGCAACAGTTGAACAGAGTGTGGGAGAGGACTTGCATGAAGGTGATTGGGAGGGTGCGTTGGAGTTGAGGTATCTTCTGTTACCTGGTATCAGTAAAAGCTGCGGGTTGTGCCTTGTAGGGGTAGGCACTTTGGGTCAGGTACGTAAAGCAAGGTGACATTTACCCTGATCAAAGATATGCTGGATATTGAGTGACAAAGTGGGCGGGAAGCTTGGCAATCGCAGGGGCATGAATAGGTGACAAGGTTGGACGTGTTCAAGCTCTGGTGTGTGTGTGTGTGTGTGTGTGTGTGTGTGTGTGCTGAGTCCTAGCTCTTTTGCGGCTTGCAGCTGGAGACGAGACGAGACGAGACGTCAAGGTTGTGCTTGACAGAAGAAATGATCAACGGGAAAACGGGAAAGGCGTAACGAGAGGAAGCAGATTGAAGGTGATGCGGGGGATGGCTGAGTATACCGAAAAGAACGCCCATGGATGCAGATGCGGCAAACCAAAGGGGAAGGAAAGGTACCTGATACTTTTACGGATGCTCCTGCCTTCCATGATTGCGATGCAGGTGCAAGCAACGGGAAGGGACACTGTTCGTTCAGGTTGTCTGTTTCCTTCCCAATGATTCCATTTCCATTTCCTCAAGGTACCTTACCTTACCTTCCAGGTTGGTACAGCACCTCACCATCTTAGCAACTGCGCAGGCAAGTGCCACCAACTTGGAAGACAGGAGAGACCGGCTGCCAGAGTGACGGGACTGGCAGGCCAAATTGAACAAGAAGGGGAAAGCACTAAGACTCGAAGCGGCGGAAACAACGACAAGTGAGCAGTTGCCAAGCCGAGCCTCCTCCAGTCGCCGTCAGCGCCTCCGTGTTCCCCAGCGGTCTCGTGCCGGCGAAACTGTGGAAACGGCGCAATCCCAGCCCACTGGACCGACTAACATGGAATAACTGCTCTGAGGTACCCAGCTGACGGCGCAGTCCGCAGCAGCATTGTGTGACGCATCAGCCATCACAGCCCCTAAAGCATGGTGGCAATCACTGGAAGGTCCGCTGTAGCATCAGGTCAGGTCCTTCAATGCGCAGCTGAGAGAATGGAGAGCCTTGGATGGTGAATGTGTGAGGTATCGTGGTAAGGTATCCTCTTGGTAAGGCGAGAAACGGTGCTGATGATGGGAATGCGCAGGCCCGGGGTGGAGAAGCAACGCAGCGGCGCCGCCAAGGAGCACCGATGTCCGCCCAGCGCGGGCTGGTCGTCGTCATCAGGGAAGGAGGGAACCCGCCGTCCAATCATGACTCCGGCAAGTGGCTGGGGGTCGGGGCTGTTTCTGGCCAGCTGATAGCTGATAGGGGCGGCCACTGTGACCAGAGTGGCTGTGCAAACCCTTCGCTTCATCCAAACCCGTCTGCTCTGTAAGGCCAAGAACACCGAACTCTTGGTCATCCAGACTATCAGTCATAATCTTTGCTTGCCAATCCTGTCAAATTGACGCTACCTTACCTTACAAAGATACCGGTATTCGTAGATGCCTCTACTCAGGTACGGATACCTGATCTATTGCTTTCCCCGGCCATCATCGTTGCCAACATAATCCCTGCCCATTTGAGTCATTCAATTGGTCAGATGGTACGCGGCTCTTGGCAGTCTGCGCTAGTACCTCCAGCCCCACTACCCTGATTCCGTTCGAGAAGAAGAAGGAAGGAAGCAATGCCTGGCAATTTGAACTGCTTGACTGCATCTTGCCAATTGGATGTGTCGTTGGCAGCAGCTCTTTCTCAATCCAACACCTTTGTGCGCTTATCTGCGGATATTCCTCCTCTATCCGAATCATGAACCATTCTCCCCCTTCGCCTCCTCTGCGCGCTTCATTGGACCCCCAAAATGTGCCTTGTCCAGAGCGACATCAGATGACATTCGTTCCTCCCCCACCAGACCAGACATTAATGGACAGACGAAGGGCCACCCTTGCAAACCTTGCGAAACCTTGCGACGGCCACCTCGCCTTCGCAATGGTACGGAGTACGGTGTACACAGCAGTCTCAGCATGTTCCGCCAAGCTTCACCTTTCCTCATCGTATCCTCTGATAGACGGCCACAGACCGATATCTTAGGTACCTTACATCATACCAAGAGGTCTAGTCCACGTGCCTTGCTTTCCATCTCTCAACATTACGCATACTCCAACCGCATCGCATTCGACTTGCCTCGCTTTACCGCGCTTTCATCCGCCCAAGCTGTTTGATTGTCATTGTCTTCTGTCACTGTCGTCACTAGCTTGTTTCCACTGTGCAGCAACGATGGGACCATGCCAATCACACCAAACAACGTCCAGATGCCCATGAAGGGACAAGACCCAATGGCTGGGCATTAGCTGGATTGACTTTATCAATTTCTGTGTGGTCTTTACGGGGCGACACCCAAGGCCAATCGCGCAATTCCGCATCTCATCCACTTATTCTCCCAAAGTGGTAGGTGAGCAAACCATGGCAAGCCTTATTCCGATACACACCGTGCCCCAACCTCAGGGACCTGGCATTTGGAACAAGTGCCCAAGACGGATACGTCGAAGCCCGGCAGGATTACTTGCTGACCTTGCGTTTCCAAACACCGCTAGAACCAGTCAATTCTTCTCCTCCTTCCACCGACTTCTGCCCAGGCGTACAAACTACACACAGTTCCAACTCTAGAGAAGCGTGCGTGGTCTGCAGTGTCACGTGTGGGACCACTCCCGCCTCGACTTGCCCCATCGAAATTCAAACGCCGAATGCTAAACGCCAAGAACTATGCATCTTCTCAGCTTCATTGTGGTCATTGGAATCGAGCAACATATGCCTGCTCGTCCAACTATCCAAATGTGCATTGAGATACGAATGCGTACTTCCCTTGAGTCTACACGCCACACTCACTACTGCGTAGAAAGCACCACTCAACGACAGCAGCGAAAACGTTGTCAGCGCGGTGGATCTCTCCTGGGCTCTAGTCAGCTACGCCGAGACGAGCCTGCATAGCAACTCACAATCCTCTTACACTCACACGTTCACATGATGCCACGAGCAGCCACTCAGCTCAAAGATAATATCAGTTTATCAAGGGATGGAGAACGGCCAAGTTTCAGCAATGTACACGCCATGCCTGGGGAGCCGGTAGCAAACGCCCCAGCAATTGCTGCCACGTATCGATCAGTTCGCTCTAGACCATGATTGTGGACAAGTTACAACCATTCCACTACACCTTGCAGCAGCCCCGCTGCGTATTTGCTAAGCTTAACTGCCCCAAACTTTTGCACCAATCCGACGGCCCTGTCCCCGGTACGGACCTTAGATCTGTCTGCCGCCAGATGCAAGTGTGGGGGCCCTCCATGCTGCCAACCCTTGGCTCATCCTCACTGAAGGTCTCGGAAACCTAGGAATGGAAACATCTTGAGAGGTCAAAGAAGGCGTATGGGACCGCACATGCTGCTCCAACATGAACCATGGGCCCATCCAAATGCCGGGGAACCTGGGGGAAGAAGAGGGGTAAAAAAGAAGCTCGCCCGGGAAGACGCGGGGGAGCAATGTCCATGGCGCGCCTTATCACACACGATGCCCTGGGATGGTCTTGGAAGTTGATCTACCTTACAGTCTCGGAGCCCAAAAGTTGAATGTTAGACGCCGAATACTCGCCCTCCCTTGACTGACCGTCGACGCCCTTCAGCACTGCCCTGCGGGGTCATTTCTCGGCGCTCACCAAATGTCTGGGCATGACCAGATTTTTCCAAAATCCAACAGGTATCGCCGGAAGATATCGCAGCGAAAAAGAGTCGTTGGCGGCTACGGAAACGGATGTCGTTGAGATTGACGCTTTTCCGGCCGTGAGCCTCAACATGCTCTTGATGAGGGGGATTTACAGCCCAGGGCCGGGGAGGAGAAGCGAAGGGGGGCAGGTTCCGGGGCGCTGGGCAGCGAACCTGTGGCATGGGGCGCAAGGCGCAATGCGGCCCTAAAGCGCACCGCAGGAAGCGTTGAGGAGCAAGGTCCAGCCTCCAACAGCCCCAGCCATACGCAGTAATCCAGTGACTGCCACCTCAGTGCCGGGAACGCAGGTTTCAGTTAGGGTCGGTTGTGCCATGAGGCCATGGCATGGCGCCAGGTGTGCACACAGTGTTGGCGTGAAAGCGTGACTAGCGAGCGGCTGGTGGGTAAGGCTACCTGAGTCTCCCTAACCTGACATCTGCCAGCCATCACTAGCAGAAGTTGGCCCTTTGGATGTTGTTGTCGATGTGGCCAGTCGCGGATGACGAACTGGATGCGTCCAACCCGGAAGTACCGAGCTTTGCGTCTCATCGTTCACTGAAGCGCACAGCCGTCGGGCCTTACGCAAAGGCGTCCCTGAAGCCGCATGGCCCCTCCAATTGCCCCCCATCTAGGGGCGATTCGACGAACAACATATTCCAGAGAAAGACGGAGGGCCGTCGAGCGATGATTGCGAACACCATTCTCATCATGTCCAATATTTCACGCATAGTTGAGTCGTTCATCAGGAAGTTAACCCAGGGTTGGCATTATCTATACAAACACGCCCATGGTTGCTTCTCTGCTCGCTAGGAAAACACATGGTATCATGGAGGAAGTTTCCCACCAGCTAACGATAAGACAGGCCCAGTATCCCTTCAACAAACCTCTGACGCAGTTTTGCTATGCTTATTTACTACGAAGCCATAGTTCTCACCCTCTCGAATGGCTTCTGCTCATCAATCTCTTCTTCGCTAAACCAGGTTCCATGCAGTCCATACGGTACGCGCTGCGGCAATTTGATCCGAGCCACGACCTCCTTCATTTCTTTCGCGTCAATTATCCACAACTCGCTCGCAGCCTCGGGCAGACATTCACCCTGTTCGTCGAGCTGATCCTCGTTGAACACATATGTCAACAGCCATCCGTCGTCCTCGGAATCAGGTTCACGCCGCGGTACGAATCTTGGCTCTTGCGCATACCATCCGGCGGGCATTCGGAAGAGTTTGATAGGGTCTTGGGGATCCTGGCTCTTCATGACCTGGGCAATACTACGTGTATCGACACAGCCTTTGACTGGCTGTGGTGGTTGTGCGATGCCTCTTGCTATCAGTGTTCGAATGTCGAACTTGGCCAAGTGGTCGATCTTTGCAGCTTTGCCAAGGGCAACTGTGTACGATGCCTCGCCAGTTGAGCATCCGTAAACGTACCGAGCTTCCTGCATGGAGTAAGCCGGTGCGACAGACGGAAACTCCAAGGAAATGGCTGATAAAGCCCACTGGTGTCTGATATTGTATTGGGTCCCGGCAGTGGCCGACAAGGGGAAGTTGTAGTAGTACAATCGGCACTGCTCCTCCTCAGCGTACTCGGGAGGCACTGGCTTCATCTCTGGTGTCGGAAGATTGCCGGCACTGAAAACCATGGATGCGGAGGTGAGCCGACAGGCCACGAGATTGACCGACACGCGAGGACCATTGATATCTGTCTGCAATGAAATCGAGTCCCAGCAGTTGGCGGTGTGGAAAATGGTGCAAGGATTGGTCTCGAACCATTGAATGGTGTCCGGCTGGTGTCGTGGGAAGACTCCGAAGCGTGACCTCCCGGCCGAATCGTACGACAAGCTTGGGACTCCGCGAATCAGGTTCATGGTATCCAGCGACAGCGGCAGGTCCATGATAACGGTGTGGTTCCTTGATACCCCAAAGTCGTGCATCATCTTAGGCGACTCGACTCCAGGAACCGGGAGGTCAAACACCGGAGAGCGGCCGGCCCCGGACTTTGCCGTCGCTGGCACCACGGAATAACGCACAAATGGCTGGACGAATGTCGCGTGGAACGTAATGAGCTCTTTCGTCACCGGGTCAACTCGCGGATGAGCCGTGGTCCATTCTCTCATGAATGATACGACGCCTGTACCCCCAAAGCCACTCTCAGTGCTTTGTCGCGGTTCGTTTTCTGCTGTTCTTCCATTAAACCAGCCAATAGTCTCCAAGCTCGGCAACGCGAATCTGAGAGGGGGGCCGCTTTCGCAAGTTGCCAACGCTCTTCCGTTGTGAAACAGAACGCTGGTGTTGGCGACGCTAATCTTCTTGATAGGACGACCAAATCCTGGGAGTCGCGAGAGGAATACCAAAAATACAGTTCGGAAAACCTCGAAGATGATGCGAAACATGCTCACAGCCGGATCTACAAGCGTCGCAATGCTTGGAATTACTGGTCGCCGGAGGTATTTATTGGTTTTTGCGTGGCAGTAGACGTCGGTCAACAGGTATTGGTTGACGAACTCCGGCTGGATTAAAGTGTTCTTTTCACCTGCCCGGCGAAATAGAACACCACTCAACATGCCATCCCCATCGAACCAGTGCGCCGCTCGGCTCGCATCATCGTTCGTGACCGGATTGCCCCCATTGCGGACATACTGGCCTCCTGCTAGATCAGAAGGGATTGCGCCCTCATGCCTGCAAGGAGTCAAAGGGAGACAGGATTGAATCGGCGCAAAGTTCCCTGACAGGTAACTATACGAGGCAGCAGTCAGATCAGCTATCAGCAAAAGAACCAAGGAATATGGACTCACGGATGGCGAGCATTCTCGTCTCCTCGACATTCCTCTGTCATCTTCGCGTGCAGAGCAGACGTTGCCTAGTCAAGGTACGCGTGATATTGTCTGTCAACAACATGTAGGCTCAACTTCAGAGAATGGAGAGCAAGAACAGCTTGTCAATACTGGCCAGGCGACTCAGGCGGCAGGTCTGAATTATCTTTTGCGAAGCCGGCCAAAGTTCAAGGACGGCTGATTGAACCTCAGAATTCAAGGCATGGTTGAAGGTGGGTTGTATCGCCTGGCCCGACGTTGACCGGGATGGTTTCCCAGTTGTGCTCGAACATTGGACCACCATTCCCATCCGTGCTCAAACTGCCGACAGACTGCACATCAATCGATTCTGGCTTGATGACGACATCGGACGAGGAGGGACTCGGAAGTTCGGAAGTGCTTAGTAGTCTTTCTCCCTCCTAGTGTGCGGTCCAGGTCGCCCACGCAAATAATTTCGGATCCGGTTTGAGTTGGACGCGTGGAGACATGCCACAAGCTTGCCTTTGCTCACGCCCAGCTACAGCTATGGCAATCAGTCAACGGAATGCGATTTGCCAATGCCTCTACAACACATGCGGCCGCCAACTCGCCAAAGAGACTTCGCGTGAAAGTTCGGCTCGAAGAGATCTGCAACTTAGTGCGAACCACTACTGTGCAGCACATGGTCACCAGACCAGTTTTGACACAAGGACGGCAGAAATCGTGGACATGAGACAGATCGCGCACATAGCTTGGCGATCGGCAAACCAAGCAGAAGCCAAATTTGGTTTCTTGCCTGCGACCGCCTCTAGAATAAAGCTAATGATGTCTTGCCAGCCGTTGGAGCGTTAGCCTGAAGAAAAACTGGACGGGCTAGACCTGCTGTCCTGTCTGCTGCCAAGTCTTTCGGGCTTTGCGCTGCAGACATCAAATCACTTGCCGGCGCTAGCTCCGGCTTAGTGGGGCCGGGAATACCACTCGGCAGCTTCCGGTCCAGAAGCCGGCAAAAGTGGTGACTTCATCGACCTCGAATCCTTTCTTGTTGCGCCAACCGCCTTACATGCCTACGTCGTAACTTTGTCACCGTCGCCCTAATTCGAGGTGGAAAAAAAAATCCATTTCCAAATCATTCCTCAGTCGCGCCGAGTGAATTACTTTGAGAATGGGTCGTTTTCGTTCTGGCGCGGAGCAATTCTCCGCTTTAAGCCTGACAACCAGGGTTACAGCCTCTTGCCGTCATGGACTCGTCAAGGATTTGCGCGGGGAGAGAGTTCACAACTCATTTGATCTTATTCGCCTGACCCCGCTTCTAGGCTGAAGGACGAGTGGCAGAATCCCTTTGCGTTGCAGTCGTTTCTGGACGGTTGACACGGTTGACAGGGACGGCTCGAGCTTGGAATACCATAGCGCCCGTCTTGGCCCAATAACCGCTGCTAGCCCAGTCTCACCTGCGAGGGTGTCGCGCTGTTTGGGCTACGGCGAAGCTACTCCTCCATCGCGATGGTGTCCTCGCGTCGACGACTAGCCTATCGTCTACAACTTGCGGTAGGTTGGTGTTTCGAGTCTAAACGTCATCCAGAGCTCATGGAAATCTCAATACCACCTGTCCCCTCTTCACCTGGGTGAAGTCATCCGACATGGCTAGATGCGGATCAATCGGCAGGGGCTTTTGGGATCGCGTTAGCTCAGGCCTAAATCTGATGTTGGCCGAGGACAACAGATGAGGATATATGGTATGTAGCAGCCCCCTCATTACATTGCCACATCAATAGAGAGTAGCATCAAAATACTTTTTGCCATATACTTTGGCATACTCAATCAGCAGCGCCTCGCTCAAAGCCTCTCGCCAGTTTGCATTTGATACAGAAAATCGAGCTGCGAACAATAATCTCACAATGGCGAACGACGCTCTCAACACCAACTCCCGCGTTGGCCAACAAGCCGACCTGGGTATCTCACCCCGTGCTTCGGACTGGTACTTTGCCGTCTGCGCTATCATGGCGTTTTCTACCCTCGTTTTTCTAGGGATGGGTTTCACCAAGCGAGAGACGCACCGCCTCTTCCACTACATCACAGCCACCATTACCTTTGTTGCCTGCATAGCATATTTCTCCATGGGTGCCGGGCTGGGCCAGGTACCTATCCAGGTTGAATTCCCCCGCAACAACAGCCAGGTTGGCGGCGCCGGCACACGCGAGATCTACTATGTGCGGTACATCGATTGGTTCATCACCACGCCGCTACTGCTTCTAGACCTGCTTCTCACTGCTGGCTTGCCCTGGCCCAGCATCATGATCGCCCTCCTCGCGGATGAAATCATGGTTGTTACGGGCCTAGTAGGCGCCCTCACAAGCACCAGCTACAAGTGGGGTTACTGGGTATTTGGCATGTTTGCTTTCTTCTACGTCGTCTACGCGCTCGTGGTGGACGGACGGAAGCACGCCGGTGCGCTGGGCGGGCAGGTCAGCTCCACGTATCGCAACTGCGGTGTTCTCACCATCTTCTTGTGGTTCCTCTACCCCATCGCCTGGGGCGTCTCTGAGGGCGGCAACCTTATCCATCCCGATTCTGAGGCTGTCTTCTATGGTATCCTGGATGTCCTCGCCAAGCCCGGTTTCGGTTTCCTCTTGCTGTGGGGACACAGGAACATTGATCCCACCGCTCTGGGACTGCACATCCGCGAGGCCGGTCAGCCCAAGAACCGCCCTGTTGGCAGCCACGAAGGAGATCACGGACACATTGGAGGCGCGGGGCCGAGCAACGGCTTGTAAAGTCCCTAGGCTATCACCGCCATTATTTGGGGGGTACGGAAATGTCTCGGTCTTGAGGAGAGCTGGGTGCATTGCATCTACCTATTAGGGTAGCCATGGGGTTTGGAAAAGTTCCTTGGGTCTTTGCTAATCATGGGGTCACGTTTCTTATTGTTGATGGTCGTCGAATCGATGCGGTTTATTCGCGGGCGCTTATATGCGTTGGCTTAATATTTGGACATGTAATGCTCATAGGAGTTGTTGTATGTAGGGAAATTCATTTATACCCACAATCTATCTGACTCAAACGGGAGTACGATGGTTGTCGACATGTGACTGCCTGGCGATGTGTCGTAGGATGGTCATCTGAGGGTCAAGATACTAAGGAGCTGTTTGATAAAAAATTACTCGTGTTCGTACTTGAAAAGGAAGCAACATGAGATGCGGAGAAAGTTCTTGAGGTGCATCAATGGGAATCCGCTTTTACAGAGAGGATGATTCTCCCATTTCATCTGTAAACGAGCTATTCCCTTTAGGAGGGACAGGCTTTGCGGGGTAAAAAAAAAGCCCGGGTGTAAGTTAGAACCCGAATTAATTTATCAAAGACTTGCAGATTTGGAAGGACTCACTTTAAGAGGGAGGGTTCGAGGCGTCATGAGTTCCTAAGACAATTACGGACTACTTTGCAGGGATACTTGGCAAATCTGAAGAAGTTTTTGTTCCTGAGACAGCGCGTTGTGTTGCCGTGGTTTGAGGATTAAGGCAAGGAGGTTGGTTAATAGACAATCCCCTATTACTAGGTAGTGGAGGACAAAAACTCTTTGGCAAGGAGATCTCTAGAGTGTAGGGTCACGATAGTAAAGTTTATGTGTATTCTTTGCATTGTTCCGACAATACGATGTGTCGTTCAGCTGGTACCCCTTTTGTGAAATGGATGTATATACAAAGATACCGATATTATCTGCAGCATCAAAACATCTCAAAACTATAAGACAAGAGCACTCGAGATTCTTTCGCTGTATTCCAAAACGCCAGAGTATTTATATGGCCCAATGCAAGGCTGTACCCTAATTCAAACGAGACAAAATATTTAGAAAGAATCCAGGGCTTTTGCGGAGACATATTGATCCAGCTCGTAGCGCGGCAAAACTGCATTAAAAAGGGGTGCCTCTTGCGGCAGAAGATTCATACCAATACAAGAATTAATTTCATAGAGAAAAGCATGAGGTACGTGTTTGTCAATATCCTTGAGGGGCGGTCGTGTGCTTGGTGATGATAATCATGGGATACATGTAAAGGGCGGACTTTCTAAGCCCCTACGACACGTAGATTGTGAAGAAAAGGCTTCAAAAGACTAAGAAGCCTGACTGTCCGGTCTGGATTCCTATCTACTGAACTAAGTATATCACATCTACGTATAGTAGAATCAAGATCTCTCACTTCTTCAAGGGACAACCTCTCAGCGGTTTCGCCCCTTTTCTTTTTCCTTTTTCTGCTTTTCTTCTTTTCCTTTACGGATTTTGCGCTTCAAGATTCATGTCGAAATTCATCCCCGCCCAGAAGCTATCATCCATGAAACTCAGACCATTCTGCTCGCCAAGCTCACCGATAGAATCCGCCAGAGCGAATTGCGTGTTGAAGGCCGACTCCGATCCGCCGTTACTCAGCAGCGCCCCCTGGAGTGCCTGGTCCGCCGCGCCAGAGTCATCCCACGCAAAGTCTTGGTCAATCATGTTGATCAAGGGACACAGGCTCTGCTCCAGCGTCGGCTGTGGTTGATGCGTATTACTTGATGTTGACGCGCCGTCCATACCCCTTTCGACCACCACCGCCGACGCCGTCAAATCCGGTTCCGGGTCGGGGTCCCTGCGAGCGTCTTGCTGCTGCATGATGGAGTTTGGCATCCGCTCTGGGTATTTTTGGTATAGGTATTTGATGAGGTCGGACCGCATCTTGGCGGCGGGACGCCAGGAGATGCCCAGCTCCGCCAGGACCTCGAGACAGGCTTCGATATAGATGGTACAACACGGCCTCCCCGTATTCGCAAACTCGGGATCGGGACTCGCGTACTGGATGAGCACCAGCGCCGCGGTAAGCGTGCAGTGTGTCGCGGTGATGGGGCTCCGCCGGAACGAGCCAAAGACCTGGCGGTACTTTTTGCCGGCGTGGCAGATACGTTTGGCCGACTCGATGCAGAGGACCTCTGCGCGTTTGGCCGTGTCTGTTTTGAGGGCCGGGGGCGTGTCTTTGGATTTGAGGAGGAAGGGCTTGAAGAGGAGGATGCAGCAGGTGTGATAGACCATGTGGAGGGTGTAGACTTGGGGCAGGTCGTTGTGTTTGTCGATGCGGAGGTCAGCGGGGAGCTCGTAGAACCAGGTTTTGAGCTCGAGGGTGCAGGATTGGAGGAAGGATATCCTTTGGGGGCCTTTGTAGAGCGGTTTTGGGGCGTATCTGAGGATTTGTTAATTGCGTGTTCGCCAAGGGGGGGGGGGGGGGGCGATTGCGAGTTGGTTGGGAGCGTGACGTACAGAGCCAGGAGGATGTTTTCGAGGATTCGACAGAGACCTATTAGACCGCGGTGTACGAGAACCTTTTTGTTGCATCTACTTACGTCGCATGAGTTGTTTGCTGCTCCTGCACTTATTTGTTCTGGTGTGTATGTTGATGGGAGATGGACAGCGCCTTGGACATCCTGCGTCACGAGGTCAATACATACAACACTCTCATAGCCGTCTAAATGTGTGATCTGGTGAGTCAGAACTTACCAAAAGACTGCAGACTCGGCCCGTGTATATGGCAGCAAGTTTGTCGTCACAGTACAGGGCCCAATAGATCTGTCGTCTCAACTCTACTTCTTCGCTGGACATGTGGCACGTCCCAGACAACGACGACGCGTCGAGATTGAGTCCCATGTCTAGAGCAAGTCGATTCGCCATTCCCTGGTGCAGCCATCCGGCAGCATCGCATCCGTAGGACTACCTGTAGTGAGTATAGAAATCTTTGACACTAGGTCTCATCCAGAAACATACCACATAGACCCCGACCAGGATGGACATTGACTGAATTGTCGTGATGGTCGGTCGTTTCATGTCATAATGTAAGAGGACTTCTGCTTTCTGAAGGAAAACTTTGCCGGCCGAGTTTTGGTCATCTGGAATGGAGCGGGTGTCGGTCCTATCAGAGTAGCGTGATCCCAGGGCAAGTATACAGTTGAGTAAACAAGGACTGAAGAAGCGGCCCTGCGTTCTCATGCTCTCTCTGAATAGTTTCTCGTCAACCACTTGACACCAAGGATTCTGATACTCAAAGAACAAGTCTATGAGTTCCGTGGTGAGATCCTCCGGGTAGACGTCTGCCTCCAGAGGGAGGATGTAGCGATTTGTCTCCGTAGATTTGGATGTCATCGGACTACCATGATCGTCGGACTCGGGGGTAGATTCTAGAGACCGGTCAATAACCACCCCGGCCGGGGATAAAATCAAACACCACGGCTGTACGTACCACTCTGGAACTCCAAGCGGCCGCTTGCCGGGCCGAAGTATCGCATCTCTCCATCCTGGTCATAGTTCACCGACTCATCTAGAGAAAGAGCTCCTTCAAACGTGGCACATAGGTCGTCAAAGGCCGAGACGCTTAGTCCAGCATCGCTGCCGGTTGCTAATGTACTGGCGATGGATGGTAGTCGTGGTGCTGATCCGGTGGCTGAGAGCTGGGCGACGGCTGCCTCGACATCGATGGTGTGAGACTGCAATACGGCTTCCAGGAGGTCGATTCGATTTCTCAAAAGTTGCACATATGTCTTGGAAGCAGGCTTACGACCGTCCTCTTCACTCCTATAGAGACAATTGATGGAACGTTCGGAACATCGGCCACAGATGGGCCGCACTCCGTCACACTAAAAGTTGGCACCTTTCAGTCAGCATTATAGACTTTAAGCCAGAGCATCAGCCCCTTGTCTATACGAGTATCGTAATGCGTGTATAGCTTGAGTTCAGCCGCCAAAAATTGTGTGGGCTGATCGACTGGAAGGAAAATATATTCCACCCACCTTTGCCCTTCGGCGCCGACACTCCTCGCAGGCCTTTGACGTGTACCTGCGCTTCGGCTGGCTTGCGGCCCGCTCCGACGACGCTTGGGGCATAGCAGCGAAAGAGAGGAGACACAAATAAGATGGGCAGGGGTCCTCCACCACGGATGATATAATCCTCTCTGTTTCAAACCGCGGACACCTTCGATTTTGGTTCAATTTGGAAAGTCGTAAGTACAACGGTTGGCACTTGGTAATAGTTCGCAACTTCTCTTGCCCGACAACCACGACACTGAGATGGCGAAGGGCGGGGCCAATCACATGGACTTGAATCAATGGATGACTAAGGAGCGGGGGAGGAATTCATATTCCGCCCTCTGCGTCATGGCACGCATATTTTTCACGACTTTTGAGCTAGAATTGTGTTAACAAAGTGGTCGAATTTTACTTCCCACAAGCCAAACCATAGTACTCCTTCAGAGAAACTTCGTCGTCTACAAAAGCTTCAATGCCATCATTGAGGTCTTGGGAGTTCTGCTACGCTACGATGGCTTCCAGCTTTCAGTGTGTAAGTGTATCAGTACGCTTTGACCACGCCGGGTGGGGCCGCGACGAGTAACGAACCTTGATGGAATCCTCTTGGCAAGACGCAAATGAAATTCTGTGAGCTCTTCATGTTGATGTAGGCGGCACGGGAAGCTCTGATTTTGACTACTGGGTTGCAAGATACAATAACGAAGATGAGACTACCTAGACAAGAGATATGAAGTCCCCAGTCCGAGAATAAGACCACCTCCGGCCTTGGCCCGGAGATCAGACCGCGGGAAACCCAAAATAGAAGTCAGAGAGGATCCCCGTGCGGATCAACGCCGTGTCGGTTCGTCTTATGCCGGGCCACCGACTTGATTACTCCCATGTTAGCTAGGGAAGGATTTCAATGCTTCTGCGATTATCTGATGCTCTGATTCGTCGCCAATTTCAAATTCTCAATACGCATGAACGAAAGGCGAGCTGGAGTGAAGGATCACCGGACCTCTGATGAACTTCCAGGCTCTATCGTGTCCCTGATCCTCCAGAGCGCAGCAGGGCATAACGTGGACCCTTACCTTTGAGCGCATTTTGACGACGCGGCTCATCCAGGAACATTGACACTCAACCACAACAGCCCGAAATCGATATTCGCTTTTACAGTAACAACGAGATGCAACCGTGAGCGCCATGACCGAGAGACACGGACAGACAGCGGGTCTGCGTTTTAGCGCGCGTGGAACGCACCGACGACACCTCAAGCACACCCTCGGCGCAGTGAACTAGCCATAATGTCGATCATAACAACGTCTGGCCTTACGTGGACACTCAGACGGTTGTTTTGAAGACTGGATTAGGAGGTAATTGATTGGTGTATTCTCGAAGTTTTCGGGGGGAAACGCTTACCTGCAGAGACTTGATAAATGTAATCTCGGCCCGCGACGATCCCTCCCTGATGGCTGTCAACGGCTTACGCCGCAAAGCGACTTCTCTTTCATTAGGTGATGTCTTCTTCGACGATGAGACAACTCTGGGGTTATTTTAAGCCTCACATTGACTTCAATGTAATCCATCGTGGTTGATCTTGCAAGCGCAAATCTCACTAAGTTGTGGTTGGGACGAAATTAGGGGTTTTGAAGGCCTCCAGGCTCCAGTAACCTCCAAGCTTGCGCAGGTGCCAAGCAGGGTTACCGCTCAAGTGCGCAGGCCGTGTGATTGGAATGCGGAGAGTGCACTCCAGAGACACGCGTAACTACGACTCTTATGCAACACGATGCATGTCTCGGACGAACACCTGGGTGATGGGCATGTCTCACGCAGCATTCGGGAAGATGGTGGGTGCTTCGCGTCCAAAGCTTCGGGACCAAACGCAAACAGCGAGAGCAAGCGCAGCTGAGCCAAGGTTCGAGAGACATGGTTTTTGGACTGAAACATTCCCAAGAAAACATGTCCGTCGAGTCAATTGTTCACTACTTTCTTCTCTCAACACCATATGTCAATTACACCAAGTCGAATCCCTCTGTTTGCCGTACCGATATCAAAGGTCTGTTAATCTTACCTGCGTTAACCAAAGCCCCCCCACGGACTTCTCCACGGATGCCCGCCTCCTCTTCCCCTGGGCCCCTGAAAGAACAAACAAAACCCGAGCCCATTAGCGTGCAGCATCGAGGTCTCCTAGCGTCATGCTTCAACGTCCGGCTCGGCGGGAGCACGGTCGGGGCACGGCCGGCCCGGTGCCACTTAGCCTCCTTACTTGCGTCTCCTGCTACTTGCCCCCGCGAACCATACCGCCCTGAACCGTCAGCGGCGCAACGGTCGGTTCACTCCCTTTTGGGGCTCCGGTGGTGGGATTCAAGGTTAAGGATGAAGAAAGTATAGGGGGGATAAGGGGGGCAGACGGGGTTGCGAGTATGGAAACCTCCAACCGTCCGAAATGATTGAGTTTGTTCCCGGCCTGAGCGATGGGGAAAGAGAGACATCTATAAGAAGGTTCCTGCTGGTCTTTGGTCATCGTGCATCGCCTCTCACTAAATACTACAGCCAGCAACTAAACATACTCACTTCTTCACGATACCCCCAGTCTTCAAACCCCCGCCAAAATGCCTTCCACCGTCGTCTCCACCCCCGTCCCCGCTGGCGTCGACCGCAACGCCGTCCTCTCCGCCATCCACAACCACGACCTGATGGTTAAGACCCTTTGCCCGGCTCTCATCTCCTACAACCTCGAGTCTGGCTCCGTCGGCGTCGGCCAGTCCGCCACCTACTCCGTCACTGACAAGAAGCCCATCGGCCAAACCACCTACCAGCTCACCATCACCAACCTCGAGGACGGCGTCGACACTCTCGTCAACGCCAAGCCCCCCGTCGGAACCCTCGTTATCACTGGCAAGTGGCGCATCGTCAACGAGGCTGCCGGTCTCATCCTCCGTGAGGAGGTCGATATTGAGGCCAACATGCTCATGAAGAAGATGGCCAAGGGCAACGTCGAGAAGACCCACCCCGAGCAGCACGCTGCTCTCCTGGTCCAGGCTGGCAAGGCATAAATGATGTATCAAAGCGACTATACCCCACTGGCTGAGCTCATCGCCTTTGGAATTCACTCGGTGTGATTGGCGTTCAACGGATACTAGGATCTTGTGATAAGATTACCTCTGATACAATAATGGGAATATGACATTTTGGGATACTCATACACCTGGTCTCACGTTTGCTTCTTCGAATTCTGTGCGCTGTACTTTCGTGACTTGATCGTTGCTCATGAGGTATGTCGGCTAGAGTTGATTCTGAATCCGCCCATTCTCAAAGTCTAAACCTTTGAGCTTTTCTCCGGGACGTGGGCAACAACCTCGATCTCAACCCGCATGTCGTCCTCTCCAAGCCTCGGTACTCCTACGCACGTCCAAATCGGCTTGTGATTTGGCATCCATTTCCTAAAGTTTCGTACCATGGCTGCTATGGCTTCGTCGTTGATCGGCACATGGTACGAGTTGACCCGGAACACCTGTTCCCAGCCTGCCCCGCCAGCATCCTTGAGATTGAGTTCCACGTTGGCGAATGCTTGATCTATTTGGGCGTTGATTTCCTTGTAAAACTCGCCTGTCTTAGGATCCCATCCGCCTGAGTATCGTGTCAACATATGCTTGGGTTTGAGATGAGTATTGAGAATGCGGCCTACCTTGACCAGAGCATTCAATGCGGTCGCCAATTCTTACTGCCTGGTTGTAACTGAAACCTGCGAGATTCCTCTGGCCTACCCCTTCATATGAATAGTACTTGAGATGAGACATGTCGGCAATACTTTTGGGGCCGTTGAAAAAGTAGAATGTGGTAAATGTGATTTGACTGAAGAAAAATCTGTACAGACAATGGCAATGACTCCGACCTATGTGTTCGCGGCTCGGCAGCTGCTTTTATGTAAGAATGCAGGCAAGCCGCGCAGACAATGAACCCCGACGTCATGTAAAGGAAGCGGAAACTATATTCCTTCACATGCGGAGCACTTCAAACTACTGTAGCGTCTGACGCGATCCAATCCGAATATGCGGGGCTTTTCCGAGTAGATGTATCTGACTTCGGAACTTATCTTCCTTGGCAACTTTATAATACCTTTAGACAAGTTCTTCCCATTGATACCATTGCGCAAGTCGATTACCAATCTCACGATGTTATGCGCAAGTAGAGAACACCGTGCCTCTCTCTATATTGATGGCAGACTCGGATCTCAGCTGAAGAATATATTCTTTCTACAGCATCATATTGGTAGGACACGGTTGGCAGAAGATTATCGCTAGATCACGTACGGTGGTTGACGGCAACACCTATTCTTTTCCCATTTCTCTTCTCAAGAGGTAAACCTTTTTTTCTTCTTTTTTCGTATGTTTCTTCCCTTTCTTTGAGACACGAACTTTTGCAATGGAGGGTTGAGCCTCGCCTAAAATACGACTTGACCAAAAACACATTGGTTGAAAAGTGCGGCCGGATCAGAGCTAACATGAGGTTGATGAACTCAAGTACAAAACCAAGACGAGTCGAAATCAAAGACAGAGTAGACCAAGTCGAAGGGAAATCAGAGACGACTTTTGGGTCTCCGTCCACACACCATCATCACCTTCCAAGCAGAATTGCCCCTCACCGGGCAAACTACTAGTTCCCATTCCTTCACTCACTCACCCTTCCCAAGCAGAACCAAGTTAGCCACGTTCATCGCAGCCATAATGACCCAAACCAAGACCGCAAAGCCAGCAGTGTACCACGAGTTCGCCATCTTGACAGTGCCTTCCGGAGGGGTTGCCCTGGACTCTTCCTCGTCAGTCCCAGCACCACCGACCCTGAACCGGGCGCCACCGCCCGGCCCATCCCGGACGGTCATGAACTTATCCCTACAGGTAAAGTATATCAACGGCGCAGTAACAAACGGCAAAACCACACTGAGCACCACCTGCGAAGCATTCAGCGCCTCGCTGACGCCTTTTCGCCCCACGGCGCCAGCGATAACAATACTCGGCGTGACGCTAATACTCCGCGTCGCCAGACGTCGTAGCCAAGGACGGACTTTCCAGTTCAGCGCACCCTCACTAACCATCTGACCGGCAATGGTACACACGATGCCCGCCGAAACGCCGGAGAGAAGCAGCGCGAGGGCGAAGATGGTGCCCGCCGCCTTGGAGATGGAGTCCGTGAGGAGCTGGTGGATGCTGAAGATGTCAGCGTCCGGCGCCTCGGGGTTCCCGTATAAGGAGACGCCAGCAACGATGAGGATAGCTGAGTTGACGAAGAGGGCGAAGGTGAAGAGTGAGATGCTCAGCTCGGCGGTCGAAGTTTTGAGGGAGTGCTTGATTGCCTTGGCGGAGGGGACGTAGTAGCCCTTGTCGATGCTGTCGCCATTTAGGTCGACTTCGTACATCTCGGGGGGTAGGAGGTTGTGTTTTGTGTCGTATTCTCGGAGACGGGCTTGGACGATGCCGGAGCCGAGGTATAGGCTGTGCGGCATGACTGTTGCGCCTAGGATGCCGCAGGCTTGGTATAAACTGTGTGCGATTAGAGATTTTCCAGCTGAAAACAGGATGGAGGGAAGAGCGAGAAGAAGATTTACCCTTGCGATTCAACCACGGCACGCGATGGCAGATACCCCTGAAAGACTTCTCCCACCGGCGTATCCTTGATGAGCGAGAGCTGGATACAGAAGCAGACAACCACGGCCAGCACCAAGCCGATGATGAAGTACTCAAAGATTCGCAGGCCTCTCATGGATCCGTGGGGCCGGTAAAAGATGAGAATGATCATGACGTCCAAGATGGAGATTGCGCATCCTGCTACCAGAGGTATGGCCGGCACAAGGAGGTTTAGACCAATCGCAAAGCCAATGACCTGAACCAGTGTAGACAGTCTCTTAGTAAACGGAGGGCTTCGAGATGGAGAGACACATCAGTCATTGGCAAAACTTACCTCTGCAATGTCCGTAGCAATGATGGCAACCTCTGCGAATACGTAGAGGACATAGTTGATCCATCGCGGCAGGAAAGCTCGGCACGCCTCGGCCAGGTTGAGCCCGGTGACGGTGCCGAGCTTGATACAGAGGCTCTGGAGGAAGATTGCAAAAAGGTTGGACAAGAGTACGACAAAGAGCAGTCTGAAACGGTAGCTTGCTCCTGCAGCAACGTCTGTTGAGTAGTTTCCCGGGTCGACTGTGAAAGGTAGAGGCGGCTGTTAGTCAAAGTTCACTACTCCTCACGGATGTTTACGAAGGGAGAAAGCGAGGGTGAATCTCACTATACGCAACAGCAATCATGAATCCGGGCCCAATAAACGAGCCAAACTTCACAATGGCCTTCTTCACCCGGTCATATAAAGCCTCATGAATCTTGGGCGTGTCCCCTCCATCTTCGGATGGAAGTCGACGTGAGTGAAGGGTAGGGAGAGCGGTCGCGGGGACCTCCTCTCCCTCGGGTAGACCAAGCCCATCAGACTTGGTCGTCGCGGCCGTAGCCGCGGGACCGGAGCCGTCTTTGCCCCAGTCCACATCGTGATAGGACCGCGATACATCCCCATCGCCCGTCCCCGCGTCCCCCGCCAGAGACAGGCCCTTGTCATCCTCCCCCGGCTCCAGGGCCCTGGCGTTGACGATCCCATTGAGGTCTTGGTTGGTGGTCAAGTCATTGGACAAATCATTCGGGCTCTGGTTGTAGCCCTCCCCTTCGTAGGGTTCGTCTGTGCGAGACGGACGATTCATTGTCTTCGCTGTACTGTAGTCTGCGAAGAAAGGGCTAAGCAAAGAATGGCGTGAATGACTTCACGACACGCGTTTGTCGTCAAATCTAGGGTTGTCGGCTAACCGGCTACTCAAAACCCATGACTAATCACAAGACACACCTAGCGGGCCCGTCTAGTTTAACGTCGGCTATTGTTGCCATTATCTACAATGATGCATCAAAACGCGCATTCTGACTGATTTTATCTAGACAATTGTCGTTGTTTGATATCAGAAGGCGCTGTGAGATGGAAATGTGGTTATTTCCTAAAACGGCAAGTACGCTATGCAGTCCACTTTGCCAAGCAGCCAAGCAGACTAGAGAACTCAAGGTTGCATGCAATCCAAGACTCCAAGTGACCAAAGGCTCAGGATTTTATAACGGTTACAAATATTTCTAAATATTGTATTTATTATCTCTCGACGTCAGAAGCCTGTTTTACCTGAATCTTAATTTGCGGCTTTTCGGCTGTCAATGCGGGAGAAAATGACCGAGAAAGCAACGCACGATGGATTAGAAGTATAGACATGGATATCAATGTGTCAAGTTGCATGTAATCCGGCAACCAACTACGATGTTAAAATACCACGGGGAAATCCTAAAAAGACCAACACATAACTTGGATAGGATGCATGGATGGCCATCTGAATGCATTGATACATCGAATATTCACAGACGTAGCATTTTCCGTACAGCACTCAATCAAACAATGCAGACCTGACTTGATAGACGAGACTTGTCACGAAACAAGAAGAGTATCAGTACTCGTAAGGCTAGAGGCACTCTGCCACGTACTCCCTCACGTAGGCCTCAACTTCCAGAGCATTTAGACTGCTCACTTTTCTTACTTCTACAGTTCAAGCCACTGCTTACCCATTGCGTACGTCCATTGCCGAGTGCCACTACTTGTGTCAAGAACACTTGGTCACATAACGTCCGAAACAATCAACGAGACTCGTGCAGGTTGATAGTCGCAGAAACTCTGAAACCCAATTCCTGATTAAATGATGAATGGCTCTCGTTCGTTCGCGGGGTCACTTATCGAGCAACATACCATCTTAGACAGCAATCATACCTAGGTGGCGGCGGTAGCATGATATGAAGCGTAAATCCTCTCGAGACTGGCGTCTTAAATGCCGTTCAAGCAGACATGTAGCAAGTTTTCTGCAAACAGCTGGCCACAAAAGATGAAACAATCACATCGAATTCAGTTACCAAATCCAAAAAAACCACAAGCTGAAAGTCGATGCACGAATTATGGCAACGATAACCTTTACACCCGATAGGATACGACC